CTCAGGTAGCACCAGCCGTAATGGTAATGGAGCAGACCAGAAACGTCTGTCCGCCAAAAGTTTGCCTGCCTCACCTCCCTTACCACCAAAGCCCCTGTTGCTGACGAACCACCTCCTTGCTGGAGAGCTGGTACCTCTTGGTTCGGCTGGTTCTGGTGCCTTTTCTTCTTCCTCTTCTTCGTCGTCTTCCGCATCATCTTCATCTTCCTCTTCTTGCTCTGTGCTCTCACTTCCCTTACCTCTTTTACCACCTTTTCCGTCTCAAGCTCCTACACCCTGTTCGCTTTCATTGCCACTCTCTTTGCACCCCGGTCCACCCCTTTCGCCTGGGAACACCACAGCCTCAACGACTTCGTCTTCAGTATCACCAACATCCTCTCTGGTGTTGAATGGCAGTGCAACAGGCACTGTCTATCCCCTCCTCTTTTTGGGAGGAAATTCAGCCGGTGGCATTAACACAGGTAATCCTTCAGGCTCACTGGGCCCATTCACCAGGAACCAAGTTGAGTCACACGTATCAGCATCCATCGGCTGTCCTCTGTCTGGAATAGAAGTGCCTGTCCTCAACAAAATCGAGATGCCTCTTGGAGTGCGTAAATCGCCTGTAGACGCCCTCGAGGTCAGAAGTGAGGTGAGCTGCCTAATGGAAACACTGATTTTTGGTATAGTTATAGGTAGCCTAATCGACTATGCGGCTAATTAAGCTCCATAAGAATAAATTCGATTTTTAAATCTAATAAGAATTGACTACGACCTGTGCAGTCCTTAATTTGAAATGGATATAACAGGAGAGCCGAGTCGGTATTATTTGAAGGTTAACATGAATTCGATGAATCTCCTTACATAACATTGTTGGGAAGACCTTCATTTCGTATAAAATTGCATGAAGAAGTGATTCGTAGGTTGTTCTCACCAGAAGACTGCTGATTTCCATGGTACTGTAGCCGTTTGTATTTAATAAGACGTTCAGCCTGACGCAGTCCATGAGACATCATCCCTCGTTTCGCATGAAAACGATCTGAGCTTTAGTCTATCATATGATGGGTGTCATCAAAGCTGGAAATCGTCCTTGTAAAAATCTCACGTTAACACTAGGTCCAGAAGACTATCCAGCTCTATCTTACATCTTATATATATTCATAACTAAAAAATGAAAATGAATAGGCATAGATAGATTAATAACAATAAAATGACTTTCCATTTCTAAGCAAAAGTTGGTTGGAAGGAATTAGTGTAATGGTCTTATCGGAAACCGATGGAAGATTTCCGCGTTAAGGAGGACTGTTGTATTGTGCGAAGAAGTCCTTGACTCATTGTTCTGAGACGCCGATGAACTTCTGTTAATCTTTCGTCTGTATTGTGACAGACATCACCAGAAAACGAATCAATTATTTACAACTTTGCGCAAAAATATATTAAACCAAGAGAAAATGTGGCCAGTTGCGATCCTAGTCACTTTTTTATACACCCACATTGGAATCTTATTGAGGCCCCCCATGATTTGGTTGGCTACCTCATACTCTACATGCTCACAGATGAATGAAGTTACTTCACGAACCGGAAGTGCATCTGGTTTTATCTATTTCCTTACATAATTAAACTGAGGCACGATCTTGAAATGCTGCCTCATGTTTGTGTCTTTTTTACCTAGTGTTAACATGCGACTTTTACAAAAATTATTTCCCGCTTTGACGATGTTTATCATATGAGGTACGAAAGCTCAGCCCATTTTGACCCGAACGAGGGAATCAGCCGTCGTTTTCTGGTGAGATCAATATACGAATCTCTTCTTGATGCACTTTCATACAAATTGAAGGTCTCCCCAACAGAGTTGGTATTGGAAATGAACTTGTCAGGATTTGACTGCTAATAATGAAATGGACAACTAAAGTTAGGGGAGAAACCTTTTACGTGTTCTTTGACAATGGAGGCATCAATATCATATAAACATAATATGATACTGCCATCCCCTTAGCATCAAATCAGGTACATGCTGAATGATGGTTAAGCCACAACTTCGAATACTCTTTACAGTAATACAAGGTAAAAATAATTTGGGCAAAGTGTATTTTGCGGAAGTAAAGAACGTGGAATTTAAAAGAACTAAAAAAGAGACGTCATTTAACGCCTTTTAATGATGAATGTTACTTGTACCCTTGAATTAGGTAACCTGAAGTTAATTCTTGAATTAATTCTTCGCGTTTGCTAAGTTAACGATTCAGTAAGTACACTTATTTTTTAAC